TGCGTTTGCCAGAAGAGTTGCAGACGCACGTCTCATGCTGTGTCCAGTATATGAGTGGGCTTCTGGTAGGTTCAAGAAGGAAGCAACTGCCTGGGGTACCTTAGATATGGTATTTATACCAACTGCCTGGATAGTGCATTTCTCTTTCTGGTAATTCACGAAAAATCTGCGGTGTGGAACGTTCTTGGGTCTCAAAGAAACATATTTCCTGTACAGCTCCAGAATGTTTATAGAGAATCCTTCTGTCATGATAGTAAAACTTCGTGACACATTTGTCTTCGAGTCGGGTATGGAGACATATAAGTATCCTCCCTTATCTTCAATATCATCAACTGTCAGTTTGGTGATTTCATCACAACGACAGGCACCTGATGCACCTGATATCCCCATTACCAATGCAACCTAGAAAAATACAAAACACATGAACATAAAGCTAATATATAAAGAAATTATGAATCGGTACCTTTATCATCAAGTATTTACTATCAGGTGCCTGTGTCAAAAACTTCTCTACATGTTCTCTTTCCAAAGTCTTCGCCTTTTTAGGTTTGTGAGTCCTTGCTTCATTCTTCAGATAGCTTATCAGTTTTCCATATTTTGATATGTCGACATTCTTATATACCTTCAAAGTACTTTTTACCATGGAATATTTCGTCCACATCGAAGAAGGTGCCAATTTTCTTCTGTAATTGTGGAAATAAGCCAGCATGACCTCTTCGTTGACTCCATTCAGACCTTGCTGTTCCCTCCATTCTTCAAACTGGCGGAACTCTTTGTCGTAATTGTCTTTAGATTTTCTTGGCAGCAAACTAAGACATGCTGCCTCAGCCTGTTTCATTACTTCTTCAGGAACAAAAAGGGGTTCTTGCAAATCTGCCATTATTCAGAAAATTTTCTGACTAAATTTTTTGTTGTTTATTATTCCCCATAGCAACGAATTATTGCTTTTGTATTCCATGCACTCTAGCTTTTCGCGGAACACGCAGTTTTTAAGATTTACCACGTTTTAAACCAGCTTGAGGAGGTGTTGGATAAAGTTTTGTATGGTGCACGTGTGTTAATTACAAATAAGTCACTTGAGAAAATAACCCCACTCGGCCTGACGACCTCGTGGGCTTACTTTTTTCTCGCGTGACTTATTTGTAATATAACACACTTATACCATAAATAACTATTAAATCAATTTTTAGCAAACGGATCAAATCGTAGTCTGGAAAATTATCAATATCGTCTTCCTCAGAAAACATAGGAGCGATAATTGTTAAATAACTATCAAACAAATTAATGTAGTAATTACAATTCAATTGTATCGAAAACCAATACGTAATCAAACGTTATATCAAGGAGTCATAACGGCCTTTTGAGCTCAGAAGTACGCTTTTTGCCTTATCTGGAACAGATAACACCACAAACAAACAAACAAGGGGGATAGTGAACAGCAGGCCACATAAATTTTGCAGTAGCAATGTCTAACGGTTGACACTAGGTTAAATCGAATACTAAAACCGTAATTGATACTAAACAAAAATTAATAGTCCAATTTACGTTAATTAACAAAAAAAAATTTTGATCGACAAATGAAACCTATTACACTCGGATAGCCTCTAGCGACAAACTAAAGAACTAGTGGAATATAAATTTGACATTTTAAATTGGTTAGAAAACAGAACGTTACAAGCTGTAGTGGAATTTTTTTCCTTGCGCGCGGTGCGGTGAAGTGCCTTTTTCGTTCACATTAAAGATCAATATATAGTAATTATTTGGGTAATTCATCAAGAAGTATCCACCCTCGCCGACTCTCCAACTTCAGTGGAGTATTACGTCCTCGTTGGTTCACCAAGTCTTAGACGATCTGCGATTGGAGCTAATTGCAGCAGCTGTGTACTAACAGGAGAACACAGATAAATGTTACTAGAGAACAAGAGAAGGCCTAGTGCAGTGGACTGTGGTACATACTGTACTGTACTGTACCGTAACCGAAACCGAAAGTAACAGAAACTTTAAGTAGCAGTAATGTGAAGAACATCAAACGTAATAAAATGTGATTTGCATAAGAGCAAGGGATCAGCTATATGGCACTACATATTCATCAAACAGACAGTATTTTTAATTCCTCATTCTAGAACTACCTCGATGCGAAATAACTATAAATAGTGAGGGGAAAATGCACTATATAGAGCTGTGTTTGTAAACTTCTACAATCGTTATATTCTATTTTTATCTTCCAGGTTTCACGTCCCCAGAAACGTATTGAAACGTATGCGTGCTTAAAACCTTTGAAATGCAGATAAGGTGTAAAGATAGTGACATTATAATATCTCGTTTATGCGCCAACATCGCCGCTCGACGTTTCACATAGAAATTGATTGCATCGCTATTCAGTTTTACACAATTACATTTTATGGTGTAAGGAGTTGATTTTTCATTGGCCCACCTTCCAGAAAGAAAACTATTTTTATTGGCCTAATATACCTCTGAGCATTTCAAGGTTTCCTTTGACATGTATGAATATAAATTCAGAATTAAGGTAAAGATAAATCTTGTTGTTGTTTGTTCTTACTCGTCAGTATCGCAATAATAAAGGCTACAAATTGAATTTCCATAACAATTAACAAGATAGATGTAGGAACTACTACTTTCTTAATTCTTGTATTACATATTGGAGTTTTACGAAATGAGATAGAGGACAATGAATAGAAATTCATTTGATTCAGCAAGAACCGTCTGTGTGGCTCAATGGTAGAAAGTTGGGCTATATAGCCGGGAGGTCGGGTGTTCGAACCTATAGGTTGAAGTGAATTTTTCATCTGTGGCAGAGATCCTTAGATCAGTTTCGAGCGTTATGCCGGCTACTCCGTATTATAATGCAGTTTTCAGTGTCAAATGCTTTATTTCGTCTCAAAAAGGGGCCAGTTTTGCCCCATTTAACCTACACCGTGACGGAGATCCAAATGATGAGCCACGAATTTGAACCACCCTGTACGTTCAGTTCACACGCTATTTAATTCTGCACCTACAAGCGTATTTTTTTATTAAAATTCAGTCACTCTAGGCCAACCAGTCGATACTGCATTCTAAAAAAGGCTATAATATTTAGTTTACTTTAAATAAACAGAGAAATAATGATTCCTACAATTTTATTAGGGGATGTGTAGTGCAAATCCCGCCCACTAATTACTTCGGAATTCCCAAATTATGAATCAACTCGCCAGAGATCAATATATTTGGAAGATGGCAATTAGAACTCCATGCGTTCTACCTTACACTTTCAGCTGTTTGTTTAAGGAAATGAAGGGGTCATTCCTCATTCTACTATTAAAATTTTATAACTAACAATTTAGATATCACATCTTTTGGAAGACAACTTACCGTAATTGTCAGGTACTTAGGAACATATAGGTACTTTGTAGATTTTCATTGGAGCGGTGGGCTTCATACTGGCAATAATAGCCATTGCTCTTTATGATTCCTAAATGCGTTCAATCAAGTTTCGTCTTTCTACCAATTGACAAACAATAAGAACAATAAGAAGTAATTGTCACTAAAAGTGCCAATAAACTTATTTATAAAATTAGTCATTGAACTTTATGACTCATAATAAATCAAATAAAATGCATGGCTAACAAAAGCCGAGAGGTTGTAGTGAATGCAGCTAAGACGTTATAGTGATGTGGCCTAACCATTGAATTGAAATGGAAATGGAGTACAGAGGAACCTCAACCATCCATCTGTCGGATTCGCTTACTACGAGAAAAAATGGAGAATTTGAGGAAGAAAAAGGTTTCTTCATTTTAAATTACACCGTTCACATAGTGAAAGATAGTTCACTTAAAAGAGTGGCCATAAAACTCCCCTTACCGTCACAGCCGCTCAATCAAATCTAAGTATTAGCCAAGATATTGTATCGTTTAATCTAATCAATAAGATGTTCTTATGGTATTATGATTACATACGCCACTCCACCAGGTAGCAACGACTTAAACAAATTAGTACTAAATCGAGATAATGTCAGGTTTTTAGCATAGGCAAAAAATCACCGGGAAACCCTCTACAACTTGGTATATTGCGTTTTGATTGAACATCATCGCATTCTCAGTGGTAATGAAGAATAACGAAAGCAGAAAGCTGTATTAATAATAAATGCGTGATTGAGATATGTGGGCATGCGAAATATCAATGTCAATTTTGATATCAGGTCAAGCATATTTTACAACCTGTTTTTCCCAATACAGGCAGGAAATCAAATTGGACATGTGATAAGATAATTTCACCTTATAAAAGGAAATTCATTCAATGCCATGTTTTTTTCTAAAGGTGGCGAGATGGGTCTAACACTCAGATATGCTGTGTATATTTTAAAATATTTGGCGATGGAGTGCATGATTTCTTACTGCGCAAATGAGAAAACCGTGCAAATGGCGTTTGCAGTAAGCCGTAACAGAAGGTTCATAATGTCAAGCAAAAAAATTCTAGGTCTTCCGACATGGAGATCGCACTACCGACGCCGGTACACTGTATCCCAACGATCCATATATTAACGAAACGTACGAACCCTATGGCCTGGGCGAGCTCACTAACGTAAGCAATATTTTTTAAATTGAAACTAGATAGACTCAAGAAAAAAAACTGCAGAGAGGTAAAAGGAGAGAATATAGGCTTGGTCAACTGCTACGTTTGAGATATGCATTGCTATTGGGAAAGCAATACAAAAAAGGGACAGTTAGGGCAGTCAGTACTGATTCCAGCAGAACACAGGAGTCGCTGGAATTGGTCTTGGCAAGTCTGTATCCTCCACGTTCTACAGAGTTGGAATGGAATAGATGGTTGAATTGGAACCCAATCGCTTTCGAAATTGCTCCACACGCGACCAATCGCGTAAGTACTGCAACCATAAGAACTTTTAGCATATTTTCCACGTTGTAGTTGCTTAGTATTGCCCTTATGTACTGCCCTAGTTATCGCCAACTCTTCGACGCCTATTCCAAAAGTGAAGAAGGTCAGCAGATCGAAAGCATGTTCAACTCACAATACGAGTACATATCTAACCACTCTGGTTTAAATGTCACCAAACTATTTAACTTATTTCGATTATACTTCGGCTTACTTTCTGAGGTAAATATATCTTTGCTGTTAAATACCTACTCGTGTTGAACGGATTTGCAGAGTGAATGGGGTTTAAAACTTCCCGAATGGACTAACTAGAACTATTTAACTAGAACAACTAAAAAAAATTACGAAATGGTCGTGGCTACACCACAATTAAATCAACTGTTCGGAGGATTTCTGCTTGAAGACATTATTAAGGAAATGAGGGCAAAAATGAACGAAAATGGTACCCTTAAGAAACGTAAAATTAACCTATATTCTGGTCACGAGCTTAACATTGCTGCTATACTGGGCGCCATGGATGTATTTTTCCCTCATATACCACCTTATGGCGCATGCGTACTTATTGAGCTTCATAGGCACAAAGATAGTTACTACGTTCAGGTAAAGCGTATCAAATCTATGTATGTACACTGTTTACAGTACGCACTACTCCTAGATTTTCTACCAGGACTATTCATCTAGGATGCTACAACCACTGACCGTACCAGGGTGTACGTTCGAATGTCCTTTTGAAGACTTTGCAAAGCTGTTGCAAAAAAATCTTCCAGGCACGAAAAATGGAGACCCTTGCTTGATAACCAGAAATTAGCACTGTTTCAGTTTTTGTTTTAAAACTACCCGATTTTAATCAGTTTGTTTTATTAAAAAATGTCAATAATACGACTATGTTTCCAATACGTTATTGAACCAACAATCCTAAGCAGCTTTTGTCAGATTCGTAATATGTCATTAAATAATGTAAGTCTATAACTTGCATATTTAACGACATATTACCGACACATTCAAAACTCTTACTTTAAATACATATTAATAACTTGAAGAAAATGCATAAACACCGGATTCTCGATTGTAGTGTACCTACGAGAAATTGGAAAAGTATTGCAAAATAAATAAAGTTCCAGTTCTTCCAAAGCAAACGAGCCACGAATTGGTGAGGACAAAGCGCTGTCTATTCTCCACAGACCAAATAATGGCGTGGGAAAATAAAAAAATGCCGATGTCGCTTAATCACGGCAGAACCTAAGCTTGCTATTTTTGACGTCCCTAAATTAAATTCAGAATTGTCAGAAGCTTTACAATGAATTATATGGCTTCTGCTATAAAATAAAGTTTTGAATTATACACGACGATAAAGGGAAACTAACGTGAAAGTTAATTTTCACTCAATCTTTAAAATATACATTTATCGTCTTGTATAATAAATAACTATTTTAAATTGTTTCACTCAATTACCGTTACTAACGCTACCAAAATACAACAGACATAAAGATAGATGAGACGTAGTTGATAGAAAAAATGATGGTACAAAAAAAATTATGGAGCCACGGGAGGAATATGAGGAAGAAGGGATACAAACTTTAAACGATTTCAAAGAACTGGTAAAGTCAGAAAGTAATTTTTGATGTCTAAAAACCCTAAGACAACAGATCACAACGTCTTTCGCAACCCGTTGTACCATCTTGGGGTCGACATTTTGGAGATATTTTTACAAAATCAGAAAGGCCTGACGTAAAACCATACAGTGCCATTGTTCAATTTGTTATGGTTCCTGAAAAAAACTGGAAGAAACGCAAATTCTGGCGAATTCTTACCTAATTTTATTTATATAATTGTAACATCCTGTATGCGTAGTACGTACACTATTCAAAAAAGGAAAAGTGTAAAGGAGAAAGTGTGGAAGATGATAGACGAGGGAAAATGTACACAAAATAAAGAAAAGAGTAAGACCGAAGGGAGTCCTAGGAGTTTTGGACATATATTTATTTGTTTATTTATTGTCCCGCTCTTGTTCTGAGCCCTCAACAGGCTTGTGCCCAATTACAGAGTGACCAGCATAATGATTTTTAGAGGTTCCCCTGCAGAAGGTCTTAAGTTCTATTACTACTCCGGTATTTACTGCAGGAAAACCGAATTCTGAGTAGCCGGCAGAATGCTCGAAACTGATTTAAGGAAATTCCCATCTCTACTACAGATGAAAAATTCTTACTTCAGCCCACGTTCGAACACCCGACCTTTCGGCTATGTAGCCCAACGCTCTACCACTGAGGCACATAGTCGGATATACTATGGATATACTGGACTTAGACCCATCCAAATATTATTTAACATGCATATGAAAAACATGGAACAATAAATATCAAGACAGGGTTAAAGTGGAGGAATTGTAGTATTGTATCTGATTTACATATTGTTGCAATGGCAACAGAGGGAAACCCGATGAGGAGAATGTAGAGATACTAATAAAAAAGTGTGGTACTAATGTCTGTCTACCCTGTGCTGCACGGCTGGACTGCGAACAAAACTGTCATCAATCCGTCTGATATTCTCTGACACACGCGGTCGGTCTGAGCTCTTTCCTTTTTCCATTTATGTACCTATATGTAGATATTCGAATTCTAAATGTCGAAAAATAATTCTAGTGTTTATTGTGTTGAATAAAACCTTGGACATAACAGAATAATGGGCAAGTTACGTGAAATGTTACCCACGTATTCGACAAACTAATTGTACGCGGTACGCGAATATTAGAAACGGGTCACTAAATTAGGGGGTGTTTTATTTCTTGTTGGTTTTAAGATAAGGGTAAAGCACGTGCTTCCCAAAGGAATGGGTGGCGTGTTATATTAATCCCTTAAGAATGGAGCTTTCAAGGGAAATGCTGAATGTATCAAGAGTTGGTGTTCCCACAGGAATATTCCTTCCCAGTATGTCGATTTCATATTTTTTCGCAACTTATAAGCAGTCTACTCTTTCGAACTACCCCTTGAGGTTATGCTCAAAATCATTCCTATGGCCAAATAACTTACACCCTTCATGTAGGACTACCATGGAGAATAAACAAATAGTATTATGTCTCTTGTAGGAATCACTTCAAAATAGCTGGGACAAATTCCAAAATATGCTAAACATAACCAGGTAATGATAGGTACTTCATTCTAATATCAATGGAATAGCTACTTCATTTCAATATTAATGGAACGTAACATGGATTTTCCTCTCAGCTGGTAAACATTGACTAATCCAGGGTGATAAGAAAATTAAGGTATAACCTTCAGAAGTTTTTTAGATATCATGTAGATGTAATTTCCAACCACAAGCATCAAATCCAAATTAGATTTTGAACCCACACTCGAAAAATTGTGTTGTATTTAACAACACTATTTAATTAGACTATTTGAATGTGACTTCGTGCGATTTGTTTAAAAATGTATAGAATACGCTCCAATGAAATTTTCAGACCCCATATTTATGGATTTAATAAACTGTGAATTGTTAAATGTTCAGAATTAAAGTTGCCAAGAGACTTTCCCAAGAAATTTCTGCTTTATAACGTCTACAAAATATGTATTGGCTTAAAGAAGGAATTTGAGAACTTGAATATGTAGCTATATAGTGCGCCTGAACTGCAGTTAGTGGCTTACAAGTTACAAAGGAATATGAAATCGACATACAAATATTCGCGTGGGAACACCAGCTCTTGATACGTTCAACGTTTTCCATGAAAGCGCCTTTCTAGAGGGATTAATATAACACGGCACACGTTCCTTTGGGAAGCACGTGCTTTACCCTTATCTTAAAACCATCAATTAGAAATGAAACACCCCCTAATTTGGTGACCCGTTTCTGAGACACTACCTAATACCGGGTACAATAATGTAGTTTGTCGAACACGTCGGCGACATTCACGTAACTTGACCCCCGTATTTATTAGTGTCCAAGTTTTGATTTACAAATTTCAACACAATTATGTACAACTAATTAAACGTGTTCTGAATCAATATTGCCGAAAATTCTGTCTGTCATTTATATTGAAATATCTTTTTAAATAACTTCGGTAAAAAATAAAAACGTTTTGCAAAATTTCGTTTTTTTCAGGATATCGCCGAAAGTAGTCGGAATTTTTTCAGTTTCAAAGCGGCATTTTGTTAAGCATAAAAATGCGCAACTTTGCTTAATTTAAACTACCTACCAATCTTACAGTTTCCGAGATCCCCATAGTGGTCATCGAATTTGAATCAGCCTGTAGCTGAGCTGTAGTTGTTAGGCAACTCTACGTAAGTTGTTGTAGTTACTAAATGTCAATCATTTATTAATTGAATATCAATTATTCTAATAAATAAATTTAGTGTTTTGCTCAAGTATTATTACTTTATTTCATAATTAAAACTAATACAACAAAACTGTACCTACCTATAGTCTGCATTTGCTTTCTTTCTGCCTTTCTCCAACTTTCATTTCTTTTCTTCTCATTCGCTAATATTTTTCCGCCCTTTCTCTAGATATTTCGGCACCCATTCCGTTAGCTATTGCTTTGCTTATATCTTATGTTCCTCCATTAATACACAATTTTCTTTTTTTGTTGTTACAATTGCATATCTCCATCCCTTGTTCCTTTACCTCCTTCTACCTTTTCCACATTCGTTTCTTTCGTAATATTTTTAGATCACTTTCCAACTCATGTTCCGCCCAATACCTTAACTACTACAGTATAATTATAATGTTTGGTTCGTTCATTTCGCATTCGGTAGCCCAAGAAAAATCTTGGCGATTAATTTGCGCATGCGCACACTACACAATGTCAACGTCTTTATTTATAGAGATACTTTTTTGAAATTTCAACCACAATGATTTTTATTGCTTTAATTTCATAAAGGTAAACATATCACAGATTTTTAACAACAGACTGCGCGAAATCAATTCATGGGAAATGCGCTAAAGTTACTCGCCTTAAGACGAAAACCTTTTTTTCATTTTTTGTTCTCACCATTTTCCTTTCTTGTTTATTTTTATTGGCAGGCATTTTCTCATCAATTTTCTTTCTCGTTTGCTCTTCTTTTTGTAAAAATACCTCCAAAATTTTGACTTCCAGATGGTGCAACGGGGTGCGAAAGAAATTGTGATCTGGGGCCTGAGAGTTTTTTAACAACAAAAATTACTGTTTCATTTTCTCGACCTCTTTTCTTCTTAACCCCTCCTGTGCATTCGTATTTTTGTGTCTGGATGTTTTTTGTACCATGCTTTTTGTTCTATCGACCCCTTACATCGTTTCCAATAATTGTTTTGTATCTATTTTTCTCTTCCGCACGCCTCATCATTCTTTCTTTTTTCTCTCTCTCTCTCTCTCTGTTTTACCTGTTTCAATCTTCAATTTTTTTCTGTGTTTTTACATACTTCTCTCTTTCGTCTAGCCCCCTTTTGTAATTTTCTGTATCTCATTCTGTCCATGCATGTACCGCTTTCGGTCTTTAGGCCGATGAACACTCTTCTTATCTTCTTCTTTAAATTTTTTTCCGCTGGTTCGTAATTAGATTCCGTCCCTGTTTCTGCCATGAATTCTTTATCCATTTACAATATTACTCTATTACCGACCTCATTCTTCCATCGATGTATGCGTATGGCTGCCCTCTATCAATGTTCATGTGTCCTTCCGATTTTGCATTATGTTTTCTGTAAGTTTTAATACCAACTCAGCCCTTTTGTTGTATTTTTATCTCTTGACATTCTCTGTTGTTGGCCCTTTCTCATTGACACCATGACACATTGACACCAATCCTACTATATCCCCTATTCCAGTTTGTTTTTTTAAGAATTAAAAAAAAGTGCTATTGTCTGCGCGTTTTCCGTCCGTCTGTCTGTCCGGACCCACTTCTGCCGTGTTAAACTACTTTTAGCGAAATGGTCCTAAAGTCCTGAAATTTTTGGCAATACCGACCACTACCGCCCTTTTCTATATTCCCTTGCCAAAACAGGAGAGGGGGCTGGTTTTATCGTTCATGGAACTCTAATGAAAGGGAAAACTTAATATTTCGGAGAATTTCTCTAAGCTCTTGATTCCTCTTGCATTAAATAGCGTAAATTTTGAATGTATGGCAGGCGATCTTTAAATGTTTATGTATAAAGAGCCCTCTTCTCATTAATCATTTACCAATAATATGCCTAAGCTATTTCGGTTTTAAAAAATGCACTTTACCTGATGCACTTGTTTTATCTCTTACCAATATAATGCCCTCCTCATTTCTCTCTCTTATGTAGAATATTTTTATTTTTTATTGTCTTTCTTAAATTTTGCATTCGTTTCTTGTAATAAAACTCATTCTTCTCCCTCTACTTCCTTCCCTTTTTTACTTCTGATATTGGAGGTACCTCTGCCGGTTTGCATGGTGGGGAATAGTAAAATCTGGATTTATTCGAGTCCGATGTACGTATAATTTATGACACGAACGCCTCGTTTATATGATTTCAAGTCAGCCGACATGCTTCACCTGCTCAACGCACTAAACTTTATTGGGGATTTGTTCTACTTTGGCTTGTGGAAATCGACAGATTGTATTTATTCTGTATTTCTTGACTTATTTCCTCTTCAAAATTAAAAAAAAACCCCAACGTGTTCCAGAATGTCAAGGTAACATTTTTTTTGGAAGTTTGTCACCTTCTCACTCCCTTGCCTGTCGGTTAAATCGTCAGATTATTGAAATGCACACTTTTCAACATGTATTTTTAATCTGACGCGCTCGAGTAAATCTCCAAATTCCCTATGGGACTCCTCTACTATAGAATAGAAGTCGTAAATAAACAACATCGAAATTTTTTATTTTTCCACGGCGTTGTATGGTCTGTGCAGAACAAACATCGCATTATCCTTATCCATCCGTGGCCACTTTGCTTTGGATGAACTGAAGCCTTAATTCCCTAATGCCAATACTACAATCTAGAATACAAAAGCTGCGTAGAATTGTTGTTTGAATATAGTATTACAAACTTTAAAAATAGGTAGTCAAATAATTGAAAATTTTTAATAAAACTAACTGATTAAAATCGGGTGGTTTCAAGATAAAAACTGAAACAGTGCTAATCTCCGGTTATTAAGCAAGGGTCTCCATTTTGCTTGTCTGGAAGATTTTTTTGCAACAAGTTTACAAAGTCTTCAAAAGGACATTCAAACGTGCACCCGGGTATGGTCAGTGGTTGTAGCGTCATAGATGAATAATCCTGGTAGAAAATCTAGAAGTAGCCCCACTATAAACAGTGTATACGCATATATGACACGCTTTACCAGAACATAATAATTATCGTCATGCCTATGAAGCTCAATAAGTACGCATGCGCCATAAGGGGGTATATGAGGAAAAAACACATCCATGGCGCCTAGTATAGCAGCAATGTTAAGCTCGTGACCAGAATATAGGTTAATTTTACGCTCCTTTAGGGTACCATTCTCGTTCATTTTTGCCCTCATTTCACTAATAATGTCTTCAAGAAGAAATCCTAAGGACTACCTTAATCACAAAGTCATTAAGTATGTTGAAGCAAATTACCCCCAAACAGTTGATTTAGTTGTGGTGCAGCAACAAGCATTTCGTAATTTTTCTTAGTTGTCCTGGTTAAATATCCCGGAAAAACTTGCTTAGTCCATTCCGGAAGTGTCAAACCCCATTCGCTCTACAACCCCGTTCAACACTATCGCTGTCGAACAACAAAGGTATACTTACTTCAGAAACTAAGCAGAAGTATAATCGAAATAGGTCAAATAGTTTGGTGACGTTTAAACCAGAGTGGTTAGATATGTACTCGTATTGTGAGTTGAACATGCTTTCGATCTGCTGACCTTCTTCACTTTTGGAATAGGCGTCGAAGAGTTGAACGTAACGAGGGCAGTACAAAATGGCAATGCTAAGCAACTGCAAAGTGGAAAATATGCTAACAGTTCTCGATGGTTGCAGTACTTACTCGATTGGTTACGTGTGATGCAATATCGTAAGCGATTGGGTTCCAATTCAACCATCGATTCCATGCCAACTGTGTCCAACGAGGAGGATACAGACTTGCCAAGACCAATTCCAACGACTCCTGTGTTCTGCTGTAATCAGTACTGACTGCCCTTACTTTTCCTTTTTTGTATTGCTTTCCCAGTAGCAATGCATATCTCGCACGTAGCAGTTGGCCAAGCCTATATTCTCTCATTTTGCCTTTCTGCAGTTTTTATTCCTGAGTCATTCTAGTTTCAATTTAAAGAAAATGACTTACGTTAGTGAGCTCGCCCAGTCCATAGGGTTCGTACGTTTCGTTAATATATGGATCGTTGGGATACAGTGTACCGGCGTCAGTAGTGCGATCTCCATGTCGGAAGACCTAGAATTTGTTAAGCTTAACATATCTTTATGAACTTTCTATTTTGGCTTACCCCAAATACCATTTGAACGGTTTTCTCATTTGCGCAGTATGCAACCATGCAATCCAGCGCTAAAAATATTAAAATATTCACAATATATTTTAATATTAGAGTCATCTCGTCACCTTTAGAGAAAAAACACGACAGTAATTGCTTATTCTTTTATATTTATGGGTGTTTGATGTCAAATTATCTTATCACACGTCTAATTTGTTTTCCCGTCTGTTTCGGGGGAAACAGGTTGTAAAATGTGCTTAACCTGCTATCAAAATTGACATTGATGTTTTCGGTGTCCATATAAATCTCAACCACGTATTTAATAATATTTACTTCTTTTCATCTTTATTGCCAATTAGAAAGCGTTGATGTTTACTCAAAACGCAATACACTATTCCAAAGTGGTTTTCATCTGAAAGATCCTTGGCGTTATCTGGATTTAGTGGTGATGCTTTTAAGTCGTTGCTACCTGGTAAAGTGGCGTATGTACCTAATCGTAATTCCATTAGTACTTTTTATTTCCTCGATTAGATTAAAGTATAAAGTTGGCTGATATTTATATTTCACCTTTGAATATAAAATTTTCTATTCAAAAAATTGATTGAGTGGCTATGAGGGTAAGGGGATTTGTTTGGTGTCTCTTTCACTATGTGGAGGATGTAATTTAAAATAAAAAAACCTTTGTCTTCCTCAAATTTTCATTTTTTTGCTCCAAGTAAGCGAATTCGACAAATTGAAGGTGAGGTTCCTCTACTCAATTTTCATTTAAATTCAATTGCTACGTTACAATTAATCTTAGCTTCAACTTCAACCTTTTGTTAGCAATGCGTTTTATTTATTAGGAATCATAAAGGGCATTGGCTCTTATGGGAAGTGTGACGCCCAACCATCCAATGAAACTGTACAAAAAGGTTTCTAAGTATACAGTTTTTATTGTTAGCGAAAATTGTTTTCCTATTGACGAAAGTTTGACATCGCTGTTTCTTTTCGTTCTCCAATTAGAAGAGGCGGACAGACGGACAAAACCATCACATTTTTTTAAAGAAAAAAAAATCCCCTAAGAAGAGGGCCATATTTTACCTCGTTTTCAACTTTTTGACCTCATCCCTTTAAATGAACTGGTCACGACTTTAATTATGTATTTAAGTCCACTCGCTAATAATATCCAGTTTGATTTTTCATTTCCAAGATTATCAGAAATACTTCAAAACGTGCCTGCACTGTTAAAGTAATGAGGGTGTATATTTTGGACAACACATCCCTTACACTCAACTAAGTACCATCTTATGCTTTATTAGTATTAAACTAACTAAATAAATGATATCCCCGAATCCACAAAATAGTAGGTAAGTAATAATCCAGATTACAATACTCTGTACGAATCATCGACTAGATTTTTCTTCAAATATTAGGCATAGTGCGGATTTAACACAATTTACAAGAGTAACAACAATTTGCATGGTTTGGGCGCATTGAGTTTTTCACATTTGCCGTCTCCCATACATTCTTGCGTGAAAAACCACTAATCACTATGCCATTTTACTGCAAGTGTTAATACTTGTATACTCTGCTCATCTTAGATACTGTTCCCGAGTAAAATTTTTTTTGCAACCTCGTATCTTGAAAAGTATTTGTCTGATCGCAAAAGTGTAATAGGGGTTTCGACACCCTGTATACAATATTCTTTTTGGTTGATTCACCTGCGTAGGATTATAATGTTGACCTTTTATTTTTATTTCATAGACCACCATGGAAAAGAGAAACTGGATGTAGTAGTTACTAGTTATAGGGAAAGACGGATCACCACCCAACCATAATTCTAGCTACACGGTACGCGTTTTTGTAATGTTGAAACTTATTACTATTATTATTATAAAAATAAATGAGCTAGAAGGGCTATTGCACTGGAGCGAAATGAGAGTACAAATACATCAAGGTACACAAATTTATCTAACTCTTTATTTATCTCAAACTAATGAAAATACGGAAATTCCATTGAACTAACCTACTACAGGTTTTTATAGAATGAGAAAGATAATTGAAAAATGCTACATAATTGTCACTAAACTTTACTTAGGGTTGCAATGATATATAAATAGTCATTTATTATACAAGACGATAAAAGGATGTTATTTCATGAGTCGCGTAGCCACGAGTTAATTAACTTTTACCAGACGGTTAGTTTCCATTTATCGTCGTGTATATTACAAAACTTTATTTTATAGCAGAAGCCATATAAATCATTGTAAAGCTTCTGACAATTCTGAATTTAATATAGAGACGTCAAAAATAGCAAGCTTAAGCTTTGCCGTCGCGATCGTTTCCATAAAAACAAAATTGTCATATGTCTGAACGTCATTTTATATCGTGCATGTGTCATAAGAATGACAGATGTCATTAGAATGCACAATCATTATCCATAGACTCCTTTCGCACTATCAGGTTTGACCGGTCAGGTTCCGGATCTAATGAAAAACTGATGAGCAGTAGTGCAGTTTTGTGAATAAGACTCTTCGCACTGTCGGGTTCAGATCAGGCGCCTGATTGCCGTCGGACAAGTCCACTAGGTAACCAGGTTTTTTACGCCGGATCAGGTTTAGCCGCACAGGTTTTCAGTCGTATTGTCAATTTTTTAGGAGGTTGCATTCATACGGTCGTTCTGGACAACCTCGAGCGACAATATTGACTATTCCATACGGAAAGTAGGTGAAGACAATGTATGGGATAGTTTAGTCACCATGGCTGGTCCCGGCCGACGCAGGACGTTTTTAATTTAATATTAGCATTTATACATTTCACCAGACTGATGTTGATATGGACGCTGATCGTTAACGTAGGATGTCACACAGGCCCGTAGGGGCTAGTATTTTTAGTCTACTATGCGATCAAAAATGTGTTGCTGTCGAGTCACCTTTGAAATTTTTGTTTACATGTGAAAAGGCGACTCGACCGCTACTCATTTTTGATCGCCCGTTATTAAGATGCGAACCATCGTCGTCGTCGTTTGTCTAATCGTTGTAGCTGTCACGCGGGCGGCCCGGGTTCGATTCCCGGTCAATGCAGAGTTATTTTATATATTATTTAGCATTTCTACATTTCGCCTCGCTAATGCTGATCGTCGACGTAGGAGGTCATATAAGCCCGTAGAGGTATTTCTAATTATATTTTAATAATACTCTAGGAGTATATTACATAAATAATTTGAACGCATCGATAGCACCAATCTGATAAATATATTGTACACCACTGCTGTTTTGAACATACTAAAAGAATCAGCTTATCCCTAGCATTTAGGGGTAGCTGTTTGTCGCTCTTTTTCTTAACTCGGCCCGATTTCCCATGTCTTCAGGTTTTAATACAACATATTTCTCCGTAAGTCTGTGTGCCGGTTGGATTGTGCACGATACAACTTCGTTGCCTTAAACTTCGGGTCGGTTGTTGAAACTTCCCGGGTTCAACTGAACCTAAGGGAAGCTAATGTATTGTTGTGTAAACAACGACATGCAGAGGTTTTGTGCCTGACATCTATAATAATAATGGTTCACCCTGTCGTGGAATTTAATTTTTTAAGAGTTAATTTGGTTGATCGCTTTATAAATTGATTATTTGGATTTGTTTATTTAATTGTAAAAGTGAAATTGCCATGTACAGGGTGTAAATCGAAAAGTGGAGATAGGCGTTTAACATGGGAAATTACTTTTTCTTTGCGCAAACGTTTCCTAATTATTTTACTTAGGTACTTTTACTTCAAATAAAAGTTATAGAGATTTAAATTCTGCATCTAAATCATGTGAAACGATTATTCTACCTCTTCTTGTATGCGAAAAAATTAATTATAAAGATTCTGTTTTCACGAGTTTTTAGTCTAAGTACCTAGCCATGGACTATGTTTTTCTTTTATCATAGTCCATGGCTGCTTAGACTAAAAACTTGTGAAAACAGAATCTTTATAATTAATTTTTTCGCGTACAAGAGAGGTAGAATAATCGTTTCACATGATTTAGACGCAGAATTTATATCTCTATAACTTTTATTTGAAGTATTTTTGCGTAAAATAATTAGGAAACGTTTGCGCAAAGAAAAAGTAATTTCCCATGTTAAACGCCTATGTTCCACTTTTCGATTTACACCCGGTCCATAGTGGTAGCCTTTTAATTTCGATTTATTTATTACAACCATCACTTTTGTGATAAGTTTCTGAAGTAATAGGCACTAAGAAATAAAAACATAAATATAATACAGTGCACATGTCTTCAACTGGTATTTACTATGTTGCAATTATCCTCTTCTCCCGGAAGGTTTTGTGCAAGTATCTCACGAAATCTTCCAATGGGACACAGAACGTCACATCCCGGTATGGTTATCTCTTTGAAATGCCCTGGTGTATATTCTTGATATAGTACCTAAAGAAAAATAGGTATCATTATAGAAAGTGACGTTTTTAGTTTACCTTTACATAATAGATCCCGCTTATCTTGTGCAACTCCATTACTATACAAGCTGAATATGGAACAAGATGTGGGCGATATATGTTCATGACTCCCAAGAGTGAAACTATATTAAGATCATGTACTGAATATAAGTGTAGCTTGTGGTTCGTTGAGCTGGTAACTTTCTTATGCATATTATCCAAAATTATTTTCATTAAGACACCTACAGTGTAAAAGCATATCACATTCACATCAATCTGAATGTAAAAATTACTACCTCCGTACAGTGGGTGCAGTGCCGAGACCGAAGCAGTTATCGTAAAGAAGTCTTGTGTGGCAGAGCGCAAGTAATTTTTGTACACAAGTGACGTCCATTTGGGTAATTTCAATTTCCATTCTTCCTGCAGAAGGGACTACAATTGACAAGCGTAGATCTCGCCTCATACCTACCTCGCTACGTAGACAGGCATAAAGAAGTAACAAGTCAAATAGTTTTGTTATATTAAGGCCAGTATGTTGTACAATGTACGGAAAGTATGGTTCGTATTTGCCTAAAACTTTGCGACCCGCACCAGAACTTTCGTACTGCTCATAAATTTGAAGATATCGCGGGCATTTGCCAAATGGCTGCAATCTAGTATGAGACTCGTAAAGGCATTTTCGTACACCTTACATTGATATATTTTTCCGGTAAGATTTTCCAATCGTTTGGATTTTGCACACCGGTGCTGAATAAACCCTCAACAACAAATTTGAGAGTGTCTTTGGTTCTTTTGTAATGAGTACTGGCAGCGTCCACTTCCTCCGTTGTGTATTTCGGACTCAAATAATTATCATATTTCCTTCTAAGTTGTTGTCCTAGGAAAAATGACCTCAACTTACCTTCCTACAAAACTCCAAGTAACGCTGTAGGAAAAAATGTACTATTCCACTTACATCGGTAAGTTGTCCTAGACCATACGGATAGTAGGTGACATTATTGTAAGGATCCTTGGGGTAAAATGTCATTGCATCTTTCGTTCTATCTCCATGCCTGAAAATCTATGCGATATATTTAATCTTTGCCTGTTCTTGATTACTTATATAATTAACATATTAATATAATTATTGCAATAATTGATCCAAACGTCATTCTGTTTTTAATTGCTGGGATTACGTATTCGATAAAAAAGTTACAAATGATACCAATGAATAACAACTTGACCTGAAAAAATTTAACCTACCGGTAGCGAAAGGCAGACCGCCACAAGTTTTTCACCCGGAAGTTGAAATGAGCAATTACATTTTTTTTTATTGATTAAATGTATACACTTTGTGACCACTGAGTAAAATACACGGCCATGGTTTAAAATCTGTCAGTATTCTAGTTAACGTTATTAGATGGAAATTGTTAAAAAAAATGAATTTGGTAATACTTACAGCTACTACTAACTCCAGCTGGCCTACTTCTGAACATTTAAAGAATGTTGTTAATAACAGAAAAAGTAGAGTGGACATTTTACTATGTATCAGTAATGTATACTAAGTTTAATGCAGCAGTGTGAAATTCCCCTCCTTTGGTCGCGACAAAATCAAATTTTCTATCTACAGTTCAAATCCTCATCCATGCCAAACGCAAATACACCTGTGATACCATTTATCAGAAATAAATATACACAATTATAGTTTGAACGTGCAATGCAATTGTGATAAGCAATCCGTTTTTTTTTCAGTTTTATACTTGACACATTATGCGAACATTGAATTAAGTATATTAATCTACTTTATTAAGCAGAGTCGTACTTACAGCGTGATGGTAGTGGTCGTAAAATGTTGTCCGGCGATCCTGCTGAAAATGAAACTCAAATTAGATATTATCAATTGACGCTTATTAATTTTATTAGGTTCTGTTAAGTTATTAAAGTTGACCATTAGTTTTAAGATACCTTGCAGAAGGACGATCAAAAATTAACTCAATTATCATGCAGCATCGAGTCAGTCTTGTCTTTGTCTTTGGTATTTCAAGTTACAATTTTAGAGCTCGTCCCTTCCCAGTTCTTTTATTTAAAGTAGCACAGAGACAAGGTAAATTGAAAACATAATGAGAGTTATTTACATTTATTCCTTAATAAACCTGTTGGAAATAAACTATTTTTCAATTACAATCCACACAAACATTTTACAATAAATGCGCCCTGGAAGAAATAATCTTCCTAGGCAATTTGAAAGTGTACGGGCGTTCCAGAATAGTGAAATGGTAATTATATTAACACATTAAGTTGAACGACTCGAGCGCCACCAAGAGTACGGTCTCGCTCCTGGTAAAGGTCGGCGGTAGCAGCGGTTTGACGAATCGGTCTTAGCAGACTCGGGTTAACTCAACAGAAGTGATTTAAATACGGTTCAACACCAAAGGCAAAAGGTTTCTTACGTTTCGGTAAATCAAGCAATGGAAAAATACTTAAGCGTTTACCTTATATAAAATTCGGCTATACCATGGAAGTTCCCAGTCAGCCAGCGTATTCAGCTATCTACATCCAAAAATTAAGACTTCTTTGATTGATTGTGCGGCCTGATGACGTCCTAAAAATTTGTAATTGGTCCCACTTGGCAGCACTTTTATTTAACTACTGTTAATTTCACTTACTTAATTGGCCGGATTGAAAATTCTAAAATCAGTAATCCAATTAATATCTATTGTTAGTTCGAATGATGGGACCAACCGGTGGTGTCGGCGCTATCAAGCTGATAACGGCGTAAACCTGTTAATAATGGCTTAACGAGAAATTCTGAAATACTAATTTTCCATCCACCTCTAAAGGACAGCTTTCGGACGCAACAAAGACAATTGAAATATCTTGATGGGAACGGTTGCAAACGGCGGATCAATTGCCACGTGAATTACGGTAACGGAGGCGGATGGAACACAACTCTACAAATTAAATCAATTAGCTTTGGCTTTTATATCTTCAACCAACACAAATACTTTCGACGCGACACTTTCATAACGAAGCGCCTGATTAAAACTCTAGACACTTCTAGATACCGGGTGTTCATCTACAGAATGATGATTAAAACGGGTAAACGTCAAAGCGTAACGGGTGCTTCGTTCCACACAATCCTACAAAATAATTGGTTTTTAGCACAGAATTGAGGTTCGTGTGTTCATGATTAAATACTAAACGAGTCGCTTGCATTACAAACTGGATTTCATCCGTTAATCTAAGCCAAAGCGACGCACCACACACTCGCATGTACGCAAAGGCAGCCTGATAAACAATACAACCGGATGTTACGCGTTCTGGCTTATCGTGATAGTAAAACACCTGGGTTCTTGAAACCATGTCAGGTTGCTTCTTCGAGTTTTATGCCAGTTATCTAGATGGATGCCTACTAAGCATGCAAGCGGCTCTCAATTTTTTTAGACAAGATTTTATTGGCTTTGTATGACATTTTATGTTTCGTTAAATGACTAAGCCGAGGGCGTGCTTATGCTAACTATTTCCGTTGACTGAGCCCTTAATCTTCGGTCTACTACGAGCGAACGAATAAATGGCAGTACTCGGCACTGATTGACCACGGAAACGCGGACCGGTATTAGGTGTTGAAATGGCCTGAGGTTTACGGAACCCACGTTGGGAGCTCAGAGGCTCCACTAAACCAGTATAACTTTCTTTGAAACACTTCAATGAATATTGACGAAGTGATAAAATTAAAATATGAGTGAAAGAGGAGGAATTAAATTATTATTTCAGCTAAGTTAATATAATTTACCTACTACCAGCCTGATGCGTAATTAGTAAACTTAATTCAATTTATGTAAAACAAAACAACCCATAAAATAGTAAATTGCATATACGTAAAAAACAACAGTGCAAAAACCCGACACGTCAATGCGCTACTCCGCCATCGGAATCTAGTCTTTCCATTATCCATAGTGTTATTCTTTCAGATGTGAGGGGTATGTCACCACAATTTTGAGTAAAGCTTTAAGTAATTTTGAGTCAAAGTTCGATCATTTACTTCATTTAAGAAGCATGTACGTTTATCCTGAAAAAATATTCCTTAGATTCAGATTGCGAAATCTGAAATTTAACGTGAAGGTGAAAAATGTACAAATTGATCATGCGGTCATTGTCTCAGCAAGGCTGTGCAATGAGCAGGGCAGCCGTTTTGATGCCAAAGGAAATTATTACGTAGTTCTAACTCTATCGTATTAAGAAATGGTATAAGACAAAATTTTCCAAAATATGTTCAACTAATGTGAGCCGATGATTTGATCATAAAAAATTCCACACCATACCTTAACTTTTATAACGTGAGGTTAGTTCGGCGCTGTAAAACTCAAACCCCGCCGCATAAACGGCCAGCTAGCTCAGATTCTTAATTAAAAGAAGGGCTCGAGATGAGAATCTTCCACAGCGGTTTGTTCGTTTGGGCATATAACATAAGTTTTTGATCTTTGGTAGTCACTAGAAATGATTAGTTGAGCGCCACCCAATTTTGCACAAATTCTGACCTCTCCTGTATAGAAATTGGGAAAACACAAGAGAGCCAAATAATAAATTCACTACGAGCAATTCTGATTTATTAATCCTGACAAAACGGTGCAGGATCGGCAAATAAAATGTATCTTCAATACGACAATAACAAATACTTTAAATGACAAAAATAATCCCCAAATAAATTCATGAACACTTCCCTAATAATTACGTTACCAGACCCCTACAACAATGATCGAGCAAAAATGTAGTTAAGATTTCAATGGATTCAAAGATTGAATTAAGTTAACCCGAATAACAACTCATATAGGCAACACTGGGTACAAGTAAATTAAAAATCTTACCTTGAATAACACATACGCTGTCTTCTCCGAAAAAGAGCTCTCCTTCGAAGTTCCAGTTCTGTAACACAAAAACAAACCCCAAGCTACAACGCTCGGAACGATTATATGAGCCGGAAGGGCCAAAAATAGCTTACTCGTAGCCGGCTCGTTTACCCATACGTTAAATACAGGTGCGTTGCTCTTGAAGAGAGTCACGACCTCAAACACTTGATGCGAACAAAATACAAAGCTCCAATCATAAATCGTCGGAAGGTTACACTAGATTAACGGTATTGAAGCAAATAAAAAAGGTTGTGTAAAAGATCGTATCTTCCGAAAATTCCACAATCAGCTGGTCGCTCCCGGTATCGTTTAGGTGTTAGCGCTTATCTACTCGGTGGTACGCCGGTATCAACAGGTGTTCGTACTCCAGAATATTCGCAAGATGCAAATTCATTTACATACAAGGATTCATCTACTACATGGATTGATCGGTACAAGAATTCATCTACTACATGGATTGATCGGTACAAGAATTCATCTACTACATGGATTGATCTACTACATGGATTGATCTACTACATGGATTGATCTACTACATGGACCCCCTAAAAGTAATGAAGATGTAACACTCCCTTAACGAGATTTTTAATAACATACCTGAAATCGTCAGGAGGGTAATGAAAAATACTTAAATCAATGAAATATGGAAATTATCCAAGAGGTTGTGAATCTGAAAGAATTTTAGATAACATAACGTAAAAGAAAGCCAACGCCATTTCACTTACATGTAGGTAGGGCGATGAACTTCCACCAGATATAGCCTCACAATGGAGAAAACGGCTTCTGAGTTACTCTACTCGACAACGCCAATAAACAGGTAAAATTGCCAGAGATTTTACGTGAATGATGGCAAATATTACCCACTGGTTTTAGAAGAATTCACAATGCCACGCTCTACAAGTACAACCTCGTTGGCTTTAAAACGGAAATGAAGTGAAAAAATTACGCGATTCTGCGCGAGGAAAGAAGCACGCGTACAAGTGACGCCATCTCACCTATATCCTGCCTAACGTAGCAAGCGGTAATTTTGAAATTTGAATATAAATAAACTAAACTGTTACACCCCCCCTCTCCTTCGACAGGAGGGAAACTACAAGTTTTCCGACGATCGAAAAACCCAGCACACACACTCGAAAAGGAAGCAAACAAATTGAAAACCCGAAAACCCACCCCAGTGTAAAAAAAACTCCCCCCCAAAGAATTTCACCTTCAAAGAATTTTCCCAGGTTCTCCAGCAGCGGAAAAGGTATGCAAAATCGGGTATTGACATGCCCTCGCGTAAAGATGGAATCTCGCGCCGTCGGGTATCATGACAATAGCAACCCCTTTCCCACAACCCCAATCCAACTACTAGTCACCCCCAAGAAAACCAAATCCAGTGCCCACCCAGAAGAAAGAAACCCTACAGTTTCAAGTGATGCAGCACCAAAATCCCCAAAATAAAGAAACCCCCCTCCCTGACTAAAAACGACACAAAAGCCCAAATTTTGACCCCCTTGCCGAAAAAGTGTAGAAGGAAACCCCCAAAAAGAAGGTACCTTTCCAACCCAACTCCACCATGCACTAGCGCAATGAAATGAAGAAGGTGCTATGGATAGAAGACAGTAAGAGAGAAAGAAGAAATCACATTTGCGGAGAAAAAAAAAACTCATTCATGCCGATTCCAGGGGTCCCATGGTCACCGAGGCTCGCACAGGGAAGGCGCACCCACCCCCTTCCTCTTGTGTATCACTCATACATCCATTCATACGAACATACACTCTGTGGAACGGAAGAAAGAAGAGTAGAAAAAGATAGAAAAATAGGAAAGTGAAAAGAAAAGGGCAACCTCTCCCAAATCTCCCCTGTGGAAATTAGAAGAAAAGAAGTGGTCGAGGTGCAAATAGAAAAAGGAAGAAAAAAGAGGAAATGGATCGGGAGAAAAGAAGAAAATCCCCCCCTAGCAGGTCTTAAGCTATGATCCTAGAAACCATCCCCTATGCCCAACCTACCTCCCGAAGAGTAAGAAGAAGAAGAAATATGGAACATATAACATATAAATACATATATCAAAGTCAAATCCAAGAATAAGAATACGTCAAAATTAGTGGTTCAAAATCGTCAACAAACAAGCAATCCGGCGACAATAAATGTCTAACCATGATCATCGGGTTCAATATAAGGTTTGAGATCCTGGACGTGCCACGTTCCAGAAGATTTACCATTAGAATCTTTCAACTCATAGGTCAAATACCCCATTTTACGGCTAACCGTAAATGGTCCTAAAAATCTGGGAGCTAACTTCGCTGAATAATCTTTAGTGGCATCAGACAAAGTCTTATTTTTACGCCAAACCAAATCTCCTATCTCATAGTTAACATGCCTACGTCGTAAGTCATAATGTTGCTTGTTGCGGTCATGACTGTCTTTAATGCGTGCAATAATTTTGTCGTACAGTCCTTGCTGTTGCGCTAACCGTTGTTCTACGTCAATCGGCTCATTGTCCGTCATGTCAGTGTCGAAGCTGTCCCCTCGAATACGAAATTCTTTCCCAAAATTAGCACGATAGGGAGTCACACCTATGGTTTCGTGCTTAGAAGTTCGAAGAGCACAAGCTATCGAAGCTAAATGAACGTCCCAATGTTTGTGATTGTTCTTAACGTAAGTGGCTATCAATTGCTTTACCACACGATTCACCCTCTCCGCAGGATCAGCCTGTGGATGATAAAAAGGAGTAAACCGAACCTTTACACGGTAGCTTTCACACAGATCTAAGAAAAGTCTACTGCGCATCTGCACGCCATTGTCACAAATAAGGAATTGTGGAGCTCCATACACAAGAAATACAGAATCTTCAATACATTTGACAAGAGTTTTGGCATTCGCCGTCCTTATGGGAAAAAGAAGTACAAATTTACTCATATAGTCACTAACAACTAATAAATGAGTTCGCCCTTGAGTGGATCGAGGTAAAGGACCAATAAAATCTAAGCTGATCATCTGCCACGGTTCATAAATTTGAGGATGTGAACCCATAAGCCCTGCAGGTCGAAGTTGTTCAGGTTTATGTTGTGCACAGGTGGTACAGCGAGAAATATAACGCTTAATATCGCACTTCATTCTCGGCCAATAATATCGGTGATGAATGCGCCAAAAGGTCTTATAAACACCAAGGTGTCCTGAAGTAACATTATTGTGGTTCTCTTGTATAAGAGATTGTCTAAAATCAGAAGGAACAACAAGTTTCCATTTTTCATAATCATGAGATTGTAAAGCGGACTTGATATATTTATACAACAACGAATCTTTCACTCGCCAATCGGGATATTTATGAGGACTTCGCTCTAATCTTTCAAACATACCAAGGTACCAAGGGTCTTTAGAAGTTTTGAAATCGTTCGGATCCACCGTAACATCTGAAGAATGTACAGCTTCGATCACAGGTACAGTACGTGACAAAAGATCGGGAACAATATTGTCCTTGCCTTTACGATGGACAAGAGTAAAGGTATACGGCTGTAAACGAAGAGCCCAGCGTGCTAAACGTCCTTGGGGGTCTTTCAAAGAATGCAACCACAAAAGAGAATGGTGGTCAGTAATGACTGTAAAAGAAACTCCCTCGAGGTAATGTCGAAGTTGCTCTACCGCCCAAATGACTGCTAAGCACTCACGTTCAGTCGTGCTGTAATTTTGTTCCGCTCGGGATAATGATCGGGATAAATAACATACCACTCGCTCCCCATCCGGAAAAGTTTGAGTCAAGACAGCTCCTAGCCCATAAGCAGAAGCATCGGTCTGAAGGACAAAAGGTTTGGTAAAATCCGGGCAATTGAGCACAGGTGCAGTTGCCAAAAGTTCTTTTAATTTGAGAAAAGATTCCTCACATTCAGACGTCCATTCAAATTTAACATTTTTCCGAAGAAGTCTGGTTAAAGGAGCAAGAACGGTTGAAAAATCAGGAATGAACCTACGGTACCAACCGCAAGTTCCTAAGAAACGTCGTATATCATTCACCGTAGTGGGTGTTGGAATATCTAAAATCGCCTTGACTTTGTCAGGATCTGGGTGTAAGCCAAAGGAATCCACAACATACCCTAAATACTTAAGTTCTGAACGGCAGAAGTGACATTTGTTTTTATTCAGAGTGAAGCCAGCAGCAATTAATTTGTCAAAAACGGTGTTCAAAATTTTTAAATGTGAGTCAAAGTCTTGTGATATAATAACCACATCGTCCAAATAAACCAAAACGTTGGGTTGCAATTCAGGTCCCAAAATGGTATCGATAATGCGCTGAAAAGTCGCAGGGGCATTAGTCAAGCCGAAGGGCATCCTTCGAAATTGGAAAAGACCACGACCAGGCACAGTAAAAGCTGTGAAAGGGCGCGAATTCTCAGCAACCTCTATTTGCCAATAAGCTGACTTAATGTCCAGGGAACT